CGCATACCCACCCACCCCCGCATGCCCGCCCCGGCCCGCCCACTTGGCCCCGCCCCGGCCCTGCCTACCATCCTTCCGGTAAAAGGAGATCTCCACTTTGCGCTCCTCTGCGCCTAGCAGGGCCTGCGCGATTTGCGCGGCTGCTCGGCGCTGCGTGCGTGGCCCGTGCAGGAAATCGCAGGTGCAGGGCCGCTGCATCACCTCGGCCCGCGAGTAGCCGCACAGCTCGCAAAAGCCGTCGTTGCAGTAGATGACGGCGCAGTTCTCCACCCGAGCGTTGGCGATGATAAACTTGCGGCCTGGGGGGAGGGGAGAAGCGGGCACGTAAGCGGGGTCCCCTGCTGCCCTTCTCTTGTCAAAGCCACCCGGGGACTCCCCGCCCCAAGGGCACAGCAGGAACGGGGTACCCCTGCAGGGGGCGAGCACAGCTTTACCCCAACACAGGTGCCTCCACGGGCCACAGCCTGGCGAACGCGCCCCCTCCCCCGCCCGGCCCGCGGGCTGGCTGTGTGTGGCTTCCCCCCTGGCAGACAGCCAGCAGATCGCCGCCCCCTCTGAGCCCGAGCTGAGGCCAGCCTGGGCGGGTGTCAGCAACGCGTGTCAGCAGCCGCGGCGAATGGATAAACACTGGGCCTACAGAAGGAGCCTGGGAGGGCCGTAGATGGCGCCCGGGTGCAGCCGCGGTTTCCCCTTGGTGCTGGCCCCTCTGGCTTTAACTCTAGACCCCAGCTCTCTCAGACTCCGGTGGAGGTGTTGGAGGGAGGAGGAAAGTGGAACTCTCTGGGCCATTCCACCCCAGGGCTCCCCAAGACTTGTACCTTGCAGCTATTCTTCCTCACCACCTGTAAGGGCAGCCAGGGGCTGGGAGGAGAGCAGCTAAAGAAGATGAGGAAAGTACCATGTTGAGCGCTTACTCTGTGCTGCGTGCCTTAGCTCACTTAATACTCAGCAATCCTATATGATAGGTATGACTTATCCTTGTTTAATAAAGAAAAAGACTCGAGGATTTAAGACGCATGTTCAAGTCTTGAGCCTAAATCCTGCGGCAGAAGGTGACGGAATAAGCTAAGGGTCAAACAGAAACCCAAGGTTATGCAGAACATGAAAAGGTCCCTGTAGCTTTGAATACTGGGGATACCTGGAGTCCAGCAATGAACCTGAAACCAGTGGCCCACTTATAAGAAGACAGTTCAAGGATAGGGGGCCTTCTCCAGAGATGTAGGCCTTCCTCAGAAGAGAAGCTCCATGGGACCAATTTCAGCTACCCTTGGCTCACCCCCACCACATCTGCCTTGAGAGTTGGACTGGCAGTAAGCACCCAAGGAAGGTGCTCCAGGGATAGGAGCTTTTTATAAGCACAGAAGTTTCTGGCTACTTTGACATTTAATGTTGTTGTAAGTTAAGTCCGAGGCTGTACATCTTTGCGGGGCTGTAAATCTTTGCGGGAGCAGAAAGCCTCATCTTTCTCCCGCGGAACAGCTGGTAGTTTCGAACTGCTGACCTTGACGTTCGCAGCCCGATTCGTAACCACTACGTTACCAGAGTTCCTTCATTTAACACTTTGACATTTAATACTGGGACTTTAATCAGCAGTCAGAACTCTGACCCCTCCCAGCCTCAAAGGGCACAGCCCTTTAAACTGCAGCTCTGGGCAATTCCATAGGCAGGTCTAGGCTGCTGAGGTCTCTCCCACCTTCTTCCACCTTCCCTTTCCCTGACCTCCAGGAAGTTACTTTTTTAGAATTTAGTTATTGTTAGGACATCCCCAGGGCCCCCAAAACTCCCAGATAACCATTAATCCCAGAATCAGTACCCCCATCTCACATTTAGAAACAAAAAACCCTTGACTCTGCTTCTATGTCCACCTCATCCCAAGTCCACAGGACACCAACCACACCAGATTTTTTAGAAGAAAAACCACCTCTTATCCTTGATCCCAGGTCTTTGAGAAAAAGAGTGTGTTTCTTTGAAGCAAGTCCCACACCAACCCCACCACCTTCCCAGAGATCTGGAAGATGAGCACAGAAGAGTCCTTAAAGAGCCCCCTGACCTGACCACTCCCTCACAGATGTGGAAACAGGTCCAGAAAAGAAAGACACACTCAAGGTCAGAGATGAGCACAGAAAGCAGGCTTCTGAACCCCAGCCCAGTGTGCTACCCTTTGCCTGCATAGTCTCTGAAGCTGCTGGAGAGGAAAGTCCCTGGCCCCCACCCCACCTCATTGCCTTTCACAAATATCTCTCTCTCCTCCCTCTTGAGATCATCCTGTTCTCAGCTTCAGACAATGCTTCTCATAGGACCGACCCCCTCCCCCCACTATGGTTACAAGCACATGTTGTCCTGTGCTCATAGGGTCATGTGCAAGGAATGTCACCCTCTCCCAGCTCACAGGGCCGTTGGCAGTCACACTCTCCCCGTCCCCTTCAGTGGTCACAGATATGATGCCTTGGGTACAGACATAGGCAAGCAGGTTGAACGCTGACGCCCACACCCAGAACATTTACCTAGCCAGGAACACTTTCTGGAAGCTTTCCATACCAGGCCAGGGTAAGGGGTGCTGTAGTTACCATAAGGAAGCTGGGGGACAGAGCCCAGGGCAAGAAGATTCCCAACATTGGAGCACTAGAGCCAACCTGTGTGCCCTCAAAGACCAGCTTCAATCGCACAACAACCACAATCATACAGGCTTCTCAGAGATATCTCCCCCGTGCTCATTCAGTCTAAACTCATGCATGACACATACAGACTCAGAGTCACATATATAACACACAGAGAGAGAGATTAGGTGTACACCATTACATGCTTAGTTTCCCAGCTCTCACATACAACACAATCCCAACGGCACACAAGCTAAGTGTAGGGCTTCTCCATGTTGGTCATAACCATCCTCTTCGTCCCAGTTGGAGGATACCTGCACACTCCCATCCCATCTCCTTCCCTGCACCCTGAAGGTGCTTCCCACACCCTCAAATAAGAGTCAAAAAGTCTTAGAAGACCGCCTGTCTTCCCTTCAATACCAGGTCCCTTGGCCCACAGACCCCTGAGCACCAAACTGAGCACCAAGCCTTGCCTCGAGTCCCGTGACTAGTGCCTCCGGACCATCAGCCCCATTCGATTTGCACTTGACAATGAGAACAGCCCGGGCACGCCCCCCCCACCCCCCGCCCCAATCCACACTCCAAAGAACTGTGTCTGTGTCAGTTCTAAGAACCCCCCTCCCCACGGGGCCCCTCCCCCACTCACTCTGGCCTTCAAACTTGCGAATGATGGTGTCCAAGAAGGTATTCTGCGGAGCGACGTGGCCCCTCCGCACCGGCATCCTGAGCCCATGGGCGGGCCGGGCGGGCCCCCACCCACCCCTGCCCGGCCCGGCCCAACACTAGGCTTCGGGTGTTCCTGTCCGGCCGTGGTCCCCGCACCCTATAGCCAAGCTGAGCACCTGAGGGGCTGAGTCTGGGCTTCGAGCGCGGTGTCCCGGTTCAGCACCCGGTTTCGGACCGCGGGCCTGGCCTGAAGCCTCCAGACCCCTGACCGCCCGGCTTCCCGCACACCTGTCTGCCTGCGACCGGGCCGCGGGCCCCTTCTGCCGCGTCCCTGCGCTGCGCTCCGCCCTCCCGCCCTTCTGAGAGCCCGGCTCCCGCCCGCCGCGCCGACAGCGGCTCCGGCGCCCGCGACTCGAGCTGCGCCGGAGGCTCGACTCGGCAGCTGATGGGTTAACAAGACGCGCGCCCCCGGGCCCAAGCCCCCGCCTCCCTGCCGCCACCTCCCCCCGCCACCCCAGGCGCGCCCCAGCACCGCCCTCATCCCACCCCCCTCGAGCGCCCGCCCGTCCCATTGGCTGAGCCGCACCGAGAGCTCCCCCAACCCTGCCCTTCGCTCCGCCCGGAGCCCCGGAACGCGCGTGCCCTGAAGAGGTAGGGGAGCGGTAAGGACAGGTGCTAGGGGCCTCCTAGAAGCGGTGAGAGAGGAACTTTGGGTTCCGAACACACACACAATGGGATCTGTAGGCCTGGGGAGCCTGATTTGAAGGGATAGAACTGGTCCCTTACGCAACGTGTCCTACCACACGAAGCACCGACCTAGGTACACAAACAGCATGCTCCTGTGCCTGCAGATGGGGTTTGGCGAGTGAGGCCAGGACACCTAAGAGGATGGAAACCTGGGAAATGGGATGGCAAGGTGATGCCCATTCGTGATCTGAGATAAGGGTGGGTGAGATTTAGGAGGATACGCACCCAGAACAGGGTCGCCCCCAACTCACACACGTACATCTGTACACTCACATACACACCACACCACACCACACCGTCTCTGGGGTTATTCGAGGCCTTCCATAAGAGATGCGCAGAGGGACATTCTGACAAGTGTTTCGGCCTCTGGCTGAGGCATGAAAGGCTTCTGAGACAGAGATTCTAGCCTGGGGATTCCCCTGTTTGGACGCTTTGTCCTCCCCCTGCAACTTGGGACTAATCTCACAGACCCAATCCGACGCGGGGGCCCTGTAGCGGCGGCTGCGGCCCTGCCCCACATAAACCCCTGGCCTCGCCGAAGGCCCCTCCCCCCTGGCCAGCTGGCTCTTTCCAGCTGCAGCTCCCTTATTTAGGCAAGGAAGCCTGAAGATGCTCAAGGGCAGGCAGGGTGTCTGCCGACTGCCTGCCTGAGTCTGTGTGAGGGGTTCCGGGAACCAGGTATCTCTGGCCTGAGCAGCCAGGCAGAGCCTGAGAAGGCCAGGGCTGGAAGACCAGTGTTTACAGATGAGCGGCCTGTTGGGAGGAGTCCGCCCCTGAGCAGCCAGCCTGGGTCTCCTCCCCTGCCGCTGGGATGAAAGTCTTGTCTAGAAGGATGGGGCCATGTACAGGCCCCTGAAGGCTTGCAGCTGCCTCTGTCCTTGAAGCAAGGGGTGGGTCTTGTCACCAGGGAGACCCATCATGAGATGTGAGGGAGAGGAAGAACAAAGGACAGAGAGAAGGAAGCTGAGCCTGGAAGGAGAAAGGCCTAGAGAGAGAGGTCTTGGTGAGACCACCCTAGCCAAGAGTAAAGAGATGGGAATACTGGGACCAAACAGGGCCTTTGACCAGCAGGTGACACCCCCTTTTTATTTGCTAGTGGGTGGGCAGTGACTCAGGAAGGCAGCCAGTGGGAAAGAAGGAGGTGGCTTTAAAAGATGCTAAAAAAGGCCAGAGGCTCTTTCCTCTACAGTCATCCCTTAGCTTCCCTCCATCTCCACTCTAGCCCAGATGCCCAGGGTCTTCAGTGGCAAAGGCTTCCCTTTGCGACTTCACATGAGATGCATCAATACAACTAGCTACTGAGGTGGAACCCAGTCTATGATTGGCTCTGTCCCCTCCCCACCCAATGGCATTCTGGATGCTGGGTTGCCTATGATACATCCAGGAAGATTCACATATATGTGAAGTTTGTGCCTCTCTTCATTAAGGAATTGAGAGGAAGAGAAGGACTGCTATGTAAAATATGCATAAGGAAAGAGAACATGGGAAGGGACATCTAGTATCTCTCCCTTTTTTCCCAGACCAGAGGCCACTCATCTGAACTTGCCAGCTGTGCTCCAACCAGTGGTACCCATATGTGGGGCAAGAGTCTACTCTTATGCCAAAGAAGGACACAAGAGTCCGAGGAACCCACAGTCCTCCCCCAAGGGAGGAGACTAGGTAAAAGGAAAAGACTATATTTACAATGAGATACATAGACTGCTCCCAGCTTCCAGAAAGAGACAAGTTAGGGAGAAAAGTCTGAGTTAAAAATGTGGCCCACCCCCCAATGCTCCTGCTCAGCCCAAGGAAGGGAGTCAAATCAGGACTTCCGGGAAGGAAAAAAGAAATAGAAGTCTGCTCTTGCAGGCCTCCAAGGAGCAAGCAAGGCAAGACATAGGCAGTAAAGCCCAGTAGAACAAGTGACAGTCACAAGGGACTGGTAGGCAGTTCCAGTCAGATGCATTCGCAAGAGAGACAGCTTGTGGAGGAATACTCCTCAGGAAACCCAGAAGAGGAAGAAACAGCAAGGTATCCCCTTGGTGTTCAAGGGGAAGTTTAGATTGTCCAGCGGCTCTATTTTTCCTGTGTAACTTGGTCCTGAGAATACAGATTATTTCAGATAGAATGAGGGGTTGGAGAAGAAGAGAATCAAAAAACAAAAACAAAAAAGCATGTTTCCCCTTGAGAAATGGCTGTTCCTGGTTTGTTGAGAGGAAGAGAGACAGGAGGAAGGGAACGAGAATAAAAGGTGGGAGAGAAGGTCCCACCTCGAATCCATAGCCCTTGTTCATTCTTGTGCCCTTGTTCATTGCCACCTACAGCTCCATACCCAATGGCGTTCATGACCCATAACCAAAGTCTTCTCTCACCAGTCTGGCATCCAATATTGATCAGACAATTTCCCTGGTTTGACAGTGTCAAAAGGAACAAGTAAGGTGCTGGAGACTAGGATTCAGTATTCCTGACTTCTAATCCTGGTTCTGCTACTAGTAGAATCAACAAATGTTTACTGGGGCCTCCTTTGTACTGGGCTTTGTGCCAAATGTAGCTGGGGAACAGGAGGAATAAGCCAGGCGCCCTCCTCCAGGGATTCACAGTCTAGTAGAGGCCTGAGAGGGGCGGCAGGCAGACAAAAACCACACAATCTGCAGTGAGTGCTATGGGATTACGATTCTCACATGAGGAAATGGTTTCAGAGCGAGACCATAAAGGCAGAGATGGAGAAGGGCAGAAGCATTGCAGGTAGAGAAGAAAACAAGACCGTAAGACCAAAGGCATAGAGACTAGAGGATAGAGGTCATGTCTGGGAAAAATTGTTCGGTGTGGTGTTAGTGGAGCAGTTGGCTGAGCCATTTGCAGAATGCAGAGGAGTGTGCAAGGTTAAGCGCTCGACTGTTAAACAGACGCTGACTGTTTGAGCCCACCAGCCCCTTCATAGGAGAAACATATGGCAGTTTGCCTATGTAAAGACTTACAGCCTTAGAAAGCCTCTGAGCACTTCTACCCTGTTCTATATGCCCAGTATGAATCTGGATGAATCAACTCTGCAATACTGGGTTTAGTTTTTTGTTTGGAAGAGTATGAACTTTATTCTGCATGCAGAACTATGAGAACAGGTCATATAGATTCTCCATGCATCCTGTCTTTGTACAGATCCTAGCATGTGGTTGTTGTTGGTAAGTACCGTCAAGTCGGTTCTGACTCATAGCAATCCTAAATAAGGTTTCCAAGGAGCAGCTGGTAAGTTTGAACCACCAACCTTGTGGTTAGCAGTCCAATGCTTATACTACAATGCTAAAACAGGACTCCTAGCATATAGTGGTGCTGATTATGTGTCGTGGAGTCGGTTCCAACTCATAGCAACCCTGTATAGGGGTTTCAAAGGCTGGAAATCTTTATAGGACCAGAAAGCCTCATCTTTCTCCCAAGGAATGGCTGGTAGTTTCAAACTGCTGACCGTGAGATTAGTAGCCAGATTCACAACCACTAGGCTACCATAGCTCCTTCCTAGCATATAGTAGGTATCCAATAAAGGTTTGTTGAGTTAATGGAACACATTTGAAGAAACTGAAGCAGACATGAGGTGTTTAAGTTATCTATCGCTGCCATCCCCAAGCCCAATGACTTAAATTGACTATGGATATATTTTGCTCATGAATCTGCAGTTTGGTCAAGGTTTACAGGAGCCATTGTCTCTGTTCCATTCAGGACTGGACACTGGATGGCTCATCCTCTCATGTTTGGTGGATGGGCTAGCTGTCAGCTGGGACTCTAGCTAGGGCTTGTCCAGAACACTACATGAGGTCTTTACATGTGACTGCATGACTTTCCCACAGCATGGTAGCTGGGCTCCATAGGTTAGTATCTCAAGAAAAGATCAGGCCAAAGTGATATCACCTTTTATAACTTGGCCTCAAAAGTCAAATCAAATAACTTCTGCTGTAATTATGCCCAACCAATTTCAAGGAGAAGGATAATAGACCTCCTCCTCTCAGTGGAGGAAGGTCACTGTCATATTGTAAGAAAAGCATGTATGATGGGATATATTGGCATGACCATCTTTGAAATTGGTCCAACATGCACTCAAGATGTATTGATCATTAGTGGTGATTAGAATGCAAAGGTGGGGCGCAAAGAAGAAGGATCAGTAGTTGGAAAATATGGCCTTGGTGATAGAAATTATGCTGGATTTTGTGTGATAGAATTCTGCAAAATCAATGATTTGTTCATTTCAAATACCTTCTTTAGACAGCATAAGAGATGACTATACACATGGACCTCACCAGATGGAATACATAGAAATCAAATTGACTACATCTGAGGAAAGAGACGATGGAAAAGCTCCATATCATCAGTCAAAATAAGGCAAGGGGCAGACTGTGGAACAGACCATCAGTTGCTCATATGCAAATTCAAACTGAAGCTGAAGAAAATGAAAACAAGTCCACGAGAGCCAAAATATGATCTTGAATTTATCCCACCTGAATTTAGAGATCATCTGAAGAACAGATTTGATACATTAAACACTAAAGACCGAAGACCAGAAGAGTTGTGGGATGACATCAAGAACATCATGCATGAAGAAAGCAAAAAGTCATTAAGAAAGAAGGGAAAGGTCAAAATGGATGTCAGAAGAGACACTGAAACTTGCTCTCCAGTGTAGAGATGCTAAAGCAAATGGCAGAAATGAGGAGGTCCAAGAGCTGAATAGAAA